AGGCTTTCTAGGTACTAGCTTTAGAACTTTAAACTAGGCAAGTTTACTTAATTCTTCTAGTTTTTAATCTCTAATTTTAATAAAAAACTACTATTATTTTTATTTATTTATAATGTTGTACTTAACTCTAGCTATTTATTGTATAATGTTAAATGTAAGGTAGTTATTACTAATGTTTATTTAGTAAAGTAAAACTATGCAATAGCTTAAATAGTTATATTATAGTCTACACTTCTAGCATTTATATTCCTAAAACTATTAAAAAAGCTCTCTTACTAAAGTACTAGAAGTCTAGTCTTAGAAAGAAAACTACTTTTTTTTTAAATATTTATAATATATTTTTAGATCTAAGTCTTTTCTTTATATCTTTTAAAAATTATAAGGTCCTGTAACACTATATTTAAGCTACTAAAGTTTTAAATAACTACTTTTTAATACACTTTAAAATAGTTGTTTAAAGAATAGTTTTTTTTACATTACTAGTAAAGTCTATTATTTAATTTTTTTAATATTTTCTTATTTATAAGGCTGTATTTAGCAGTAATAGCTTTTATTATTATAGTAGTATTTTTATTCTCCCCCTTTTAAAAGTCTAGGTAGTTTTAGCAGAAATGTTCTACTTTTTTATAGTTTAAGTAGGCCTTATTCTCTAGCTACTTTTACTGTTTCTTTATTAAAGGCAGCTTATTATGTTCTAGAACTTAGCTTTTTTTAAAGAAGAAGCTTTATGTATACTTTACATAACTAAGGTTTATTAGTTTTTTATTATATTATAAAGGTTTTTTTTTTAAAAATAAACTTTAGTTTTTAAGGTGTTTTTTTTTATTTCTTTTCTTTTTTATACTCTCTGTAATAGTTATTATAGGTTATTACTTACATAATAAAGTTTTTAAGAGTAGTTAGTTTATTACTATACATAAACTTATCTTTTACTATTTTACTTAGTCTATTATAGAACATGTAGCAGAGGGCTTTCTAGTCTGTCTATCTGCAGATAGCTAACTGCTCTTAGAAACACGCTGTGTAATTCTAGACTAGACTAGTCTTTTATTTTATAGTGTTTAACTTATTAGCTGTAATTTTTATTATTAAAGATTTTATAAATAGCTGTTAGAGCTTTCTTAAAGTTTTTAATGCTACTAAATATTTCTTTTATTTTAAAAGTAAGTGCTTTACTATTTGCCCTAAAGTTTATCTAGTTGTCTGTGTAGAGTTAGAACTAAATTATAGGGGGGCCTTTTAGGTGTAGTTCTATTTAGGATATTATTTCTACATTAGTCTAAAATGCTTTTTTGTTATATTATATATAAAAGTAACATTTTATAAAAAATAGTTAAAGGTTTTTTAATAATCTTTTAAAAAGCTTTAAAAAGGCTAGTCTTAAAGTCTTTTTAGCTATAATACTTACTTTTTTTATTAAAATGTTCTAGATTTTTACTAGCTTTACTTATAGTTTATGTATTTAATAGGCTTAGTTAGTAGCTTTTTAGAGGCTTAAAAGTTTAAAAAAATTCTATAATTTTACTACTTTTTAATAAAAGTTAGTAATTTTTTACTTAAGTTTTAGTAGCTTACTAACTTTATTACTAATTTACTAGAGTTTTTTAATGTTGTTCTAGATTAAATTAATTTGTCTTGCTAGAACAGCTTTACTTTAGGTAGAAACTTCTATAAATCCTAATAGCACAGCGTAGGCTATGTTAGAATCTAAGTTGTGTTATAAAGTATTTATACTTTTTAGAAGAGGTAGTGTTTAATGTTATAATCTTTACTCTAGAGGAGCACTTAGGTCTTATAATATTCCTAGGGGGGAAGTAGGACGGGTGGTAGGGGCCAACCAGTAGGGTGTACAGTCCTACGTACAGGCTATTAGGCTAATAGAGGGAGGTAGAGAGACTAGATTATAGTTTGCCCTTAATGCAGCAGTAAAAAGGCTAGGTTAAACAGTCCTATTAGACAGAGTTAGAGGTATATATAGTATAAGATATATAAATAGTATTATAGCTCTTTAGAAAGCTAAATGCTACTTAGTTTATATAAAGGAATAAACTAAACATTAAACACACCTTTCTAAGGTTGTTTAATGTAGAAACTATATACATGTGCTAGGTGCGCTAAGGGGAGCTAGTAGAAGCTTATAGGAGCCTGCCTAGAGGAACTCCTATAAGCTCCCCTAGGCTCCCATTAACACGCGGCCTGTCTCCCTATTGGACGACGCATTCTTCCGCCACTGCGGGCAGCTGCGCTGCCCCCGTGTTCTCCGGTTGGTCTGTAAGCGAGCCCTGTCCCAACCCAGCTAGACTGTGGAGCACTGCCGGTGGAGTTACGCTGGTCCAACCGTAGACCGTAACAGTAAGGCACTAGAGACATAAGGAACTGCATTAAATGTATTGCTAGAGGAGTCCTTTACAAGAGTCTATATATATGCAAAATAATTAGGTGGGTCT